TGTTGCTGATTGGGGCTATCTCCAGAGGAAGAAAAGAGGGATGTTTACTCATGCATAAATAAGTGGAACAGAGAATGGATGAAATAGAAGAAGTAAACCTCCTCATGTATTATTATCTGGAAAGGGGCCTTATAACTGCAACAATTTTTAAAATGCACAGCAGTTACAAGCCAATGTGTACAGTAAAATGGTGCCAATGGGATTCTATGGAAGTTGCAACTTCCAGGATACCATATCAGAGGAATTAAAGTATTACTGTAAGACTGTATCTTGTGTAAATCATAAAAGAGCTCTGGATACTTTATCATGTTGAAGGATCTAGAATGCACTTTTAGAAATACTTTCTTTAAAGTTATAATTAGCTGAACCCTTGTCTTGTTAAAAGATGAAGAAGGCAGGAGTAACTACCAATAGTTCTCAGGTGAGATACATAGTCCATGCTGCACTAGCGACAGGCTAGCAAGGCATCATGGGATATGTGCCTTCTTAAAGCTAGGAAGCTATCTGGTATTGTGTTAATCACATTCAGCCTAATGCTGCTAAACACTCTGTTCATACTTGTCAGTTTTACCCTCTGCTTTCCTGAGGTGTAAAAAAAAAAAAATGTAGAAAGTGCCAAAAAAGCCTTAATATTTGTCTAACGTTATTGATGAGATTTTTAAAATTGTCATGAATGAGGCGGAATGCGCCTGCTAATTCCATTGGGGTCCCTGATGCTATAATTTGAGAATTTTCACACTTTGCTGATTATTACACATTGTTAGAAGTTTCTTTATATGTATGAAGACTTTTAACTTAGCATGGAATATTTTTTCATACCCAAATAAAAAACTTTTTTTTTTATTCAGATTTTCTAGAAATGACACAATTGAATTAAACAGTAGAAACCACCTACAACTTGTGGTATTTTTATAAGATTCTCTGTCTTCTTTTAAATTCTCCACTTCCCATATTCCTTCCTGGCTATTTATAATCTCTGCATCCATGAAGATGATTAAAGCACTTTGTGGAGAGAACTCTATCCTGAATGACAGGAACGGTTTTGATTTTTTTTAAATTACAGAAAATGGCAGGCATTGTAAAAAAAGTCAAGCAGAAAAGTGGGCAGAGAACATAGTGTAGTACACAGAGGGCAGTACACAAACTAGCACACCTCTTGCACACACCTATGGATGTAATAGCAATTACAGAGGATGACTCAAAGAGAACTCTGGGAAATAAAATCCCATCTATAAAAGAACATCTATCCAAGGTTAGATAGTCCTGTAGCAGGAAAGTGCTAAGTTGTTGGAATAATATCAATGTAGCTTTGTTTGAAATTATTAAAATAATAGTGTATATTAAAATTTCACACACATTTCTGTGTACCATGACTTATACACACAAACAAGTCTCACCCACCTTTTCTCAGAATCCCAGCAGTTATTTTTGAACATTTAATGATTTAATCACAACATTTCATGCTTTACCTGAATTCTTATAATATGATCATAACACAGTTCACTTGCATAAAAGGCACTGATGATGTCGGCAGAGATTCATTTTGTCCCATTCGGTCAATATATATGTTTTAAAACATAAATAGTGGACACTGAACAGATAGCTCTCTAGCATGCGGAGAGCAGCTGCCAATGCATCATGGAGTCACACTTCTGCAACACCTGGTAGGTTACCCAAGCATTAAACAGATAGCTCTGGTATATATACTTATTTCTACTAACCTTTTCTTTCCAGCTGTACAGTATATTGCAATAGTATTTTCCTGTGGAGTAACTGAATGTCTCCATTGTAGCTGTCTTGATTCCTTCTGCATTTTAGCTTCGAGCAATATTGAAAACACACTTGAGATTCTAGGCTGTGACTGTAAATATTTGGGGATTGATATGAATCAAGGTGACTACATCTCAGCAGGAAAACAAAGTCACTACATCTAGTTAAAAGCTCTTGCTGGGAAACATTTTATGGATAAATGCAGGTAGACTTTTTCTAATTCTGTAGTATGTTCTACGCAGTCATAAGTAATAAGGTAAGAGGTTCATCCGAATATTTCTAGAATGGATTTCAACCATACCCCAGAGACAATATTCAATCCAGGAAGATAGAAAGACAGACAGACAGGTAGATAGATAGATAGCTAGATAGAAGGGGTATGGGCAGGTGTGGACTGGTACAATTTTACTGCTCCATAGTGCAATTTTACCAACCCACCCATTAGCATCAGCAATAGACACAAGTACACAAACTAAATAGATGTGTTTATAGAAATGCAAGATAATTGAAAAAGAAAGTATGCACTTGGTCATTTAGATGTAAAAAGTGGTTAAAGAGCAATTGCCCCGCCCACTTGACACTTGGACATCACTAATCAATATGGGAGATCTCCCCAACCAGGCAAACATTTAGTAAAAAGAGAAGGATTTTACAGCAAGGGAATGTTATCTATGCAATAAAAGCATAAACCTTGTATATCATGCCAATAAGCAGTAAATGCATAATCTGTTTGCCAGCTCCTCCCATGCCTCCCCTCTCTGTCAGTCCTTATACTGGGTTCTTGTAAGATACAGGGCTCAATGAAAATTTTTGGTGCTTGCTTACAAATCTCTACATTGAGCTGTTCCTATTGTAGGTATCCTCACTAATACACAAGTATGTCCTGTCCAGGTACCTACGCTCTGTCGAAGATCTGCATCTATTCATCTGCACCTTTAACACTTCTCTAAGACTGCACCATTACTATTGAAATTCCTTCCATTGTTAGTGTAGCAGGCTTGATTCCCATGTGTTCGGTTGTACGTACCCCCTTTTTCGTCACCCGAATGGATGGTGTGTGGTCCCCCCTTTTACACCCTCCAAACACAGACCTCACCTGGCTGTCAATCCCAAATTAACACCTTAACACATTAACTTGAGTGTCCGCCAACACAGACAGTGGTACATGGTCGTCGAACGGCTAGAACTATTTTCGACCATGCGAGTGCTCTAACCTGGGCAGAGTTCATACGGCTGCCCAATCTACTTTCCGACCACTTAGATGAACGATGTTCGGGTCGGGAGATATGAACTTCTGACTGGGGGGAGCATTTGCTCCCTAAAAGCCAGGGGGAGCGTCCATCAGTGCTTGCACATAACCCCCGAAAGCTGACCGGCTGTCACCCTCATTCTCATTGAACTGTTTTGAGCTATCGCTTCGTGGCCGGTCTGTCATGATTTGACCTGAATGGCGATTGCATTCTACCGAACAGATCTGAGCGCTATTTGGTTACAGTGGGCGCTCAAATCAGAGCAATTCGGGGATATACGAATTGTAGGGTTCCTGTGAATTATGAATATGTTTTTGGGGTGTTTTATGTATATGTTATATAATTTTCTGAACCTGAGAGATAATTGAGTTACTCAGTTTTTACTCAATTATCTCTCAGACAATGGGTCGCCTGGGAGAGGCTTGTTTATGTTTTATATGGAGATCCCATGCTGGGGGTTTGGGCATAAAAAGGCTGTGTTTGAGCGGAATAAATCTGTTGTACTCCCAGAACTGTGTGTCGTCCAGTTACTGGGGGGAATAGAGCTATTCACATTTCAGTGCCTTGTTCCAGAGTTCCAGTCTTCAAGGATCTAGTGGAGGAAAAGTCCTTGTCAGCACTAGCGCTCCGCTACAGTTAGACTCTCACTCAGTCTCAGTTCCTTTAAAATATCATAAAAAACACACTACTTTAGGAAGCATATCATTTAAATTTTTAATAGCTTAATAATTCTCTCCCCTCACTTTGATAACCCATCATGCTTCCTCTCCTGCAACTGTGCCATCCAATAAACTAACCCTTTACTGTCAACTATTCTACTAACCTACTTTTTCCCATACATGAAATACATCCTACTCTTACCTCTTGTGTTATTTTACCCCACTACCTCTAGAATGTAAGCTCATTGAGCATGGCACTCAAAACTCTGATGCTGTATGTAACGGAGCTCCCTGAACCCCAGCTGGGTACCTCCACCGATTCCTAGCTGGAACAGAAGACAAACCTCATTGCTCCTGCCCCCAGTCGCCGTGACTTGACTGGGGTCCGGGAACCACTCCGTCCTGGAGCTGAATGGGGAACTCGCTCTTTCCACTCCCAGGCACTGGACGACACTCAGTCCTGGGAGCTCTAATCCTTACAAGGACGTTCCCCGTTGATTCCTAAACACTGGAACAAGCTGGAGTAGGGATTAGCCCTTTTCCCTCCCAGTAACCAGACGACACATAGTTCTGGGAGTACAAGCTGGAATGCTTTCATCTGGCCAGATGGCTGCCTGCTTTAATATACTTCAGAGTCACAGCAAACATGCCCAGGACACTCCCACACAAAACAGGGTAATCCGCCCCCCCCCTCCCCCCCCCCTGTGCCTCAGAGATAATTGAGTCAGGAACTGTACAAACTCAATTATCTCCAGGCACAGAAAACACACAATTTATAAAACACCCCAAAATACACATAAAATACACGAAAAACCCCACAAAAGTTATATTCCCTGATAGACCCGATCTGGGTGACCAACATATCCAAAAATCACTCAGATCGGATTAGGGGTTCGACTTTTCAATGGAAGTCAATTATTTGACCGACCACGCACATGGTCCTATGCCCAAAACAGTTCCATGAAATCAGGGCCATCGTTCATTTAAATGGAGTCCAAGAGAAATTGGATTATTTAAAAGTTGCACTACTGAAGGCAACAGAAAATTTAATTTGGCTTGTCAATAAAAGCAAAAAATTAAAGAAACCACTGTGGTACTCCGCAGATGTGGCCAAAATAGTAAAAAACCAAAAAGTTAGCATTTAGTAATTATAAAAAAACCCAGAGTGAGGAAGACTATTGTGACGAGACCAATTTCGCCACATTGCATTGGAGAAGCCTGGTTGCTCGCCTGCTGCCTTTGGACTATGGCCCCCTTTTAAAAGACTTTATTTTTGCCTGCAGAAAAGCTGTATTTGTGCTTTTCTGCCTGGGGTTCAGTAGATTTGTTTGAATGTGTTATACCCCAGATAGGAATCCCATGGAGCCCATTTGTATGAAACTGACTGTAAAGACTTTGGCTCCATGGCGATTAAACTGTATTCGTGTGGTCTGAGCGCCATTCACTTAATAATGTGCGCTCAGACCTGAGCTATCTGGGGATATGTTACATGTCTGTGTTTTGTGTAGTAAATGTGACTTTATGTATTTTGAAGTGTTTTGTGTCTTTTTGCAACCATGTGCTTAATGGAGTCTTGTGTCTATCCTGGGAGATAATTGAATTACTTATCTCCAGGATAGAAGACTCTGAAACTGGTTTGGGCCAGAAAGCCATGCTTCATTTAGTCACAAAGGACTTTTTACTAACTTTTGAACCCCTTGTCTGATTTGTGCCATTTTGGAATATGTTGTTCCCCTGAATGGATTGATTGAGAATATGTAATTTTATGTGAATGTGATGTATGGTTTTGGAGTTATGAAAGTTGGGTAGAAAGTATGTTTTAACTGTTTGTATAATTGAGTTTCCTCTCAGAATAAGGGGAGGGAATATGTGGGATGTAACTGTGATATGATTGGTTGTTTTATCCCTCCCTGTGGGTGGTCCTGTATTTGAAACACTGTAATAAAACCAGGCTGGGTGTGCCAGCACCTCAGACCACTGCTTGACCCTCAACACGGAGCCTTGTCTCGTCTTTGGGGGGATTTACTGTATGCTGCTAAGGACTGATTGCCAGGAGTGTAAGCCGCTTGGACGCTTTTCCTGTTCGCCTGCTAGCAGCTATTCGTATGGTTCCTGTTCGTTTATTTGAAGTGCTACCTTATTCCCTTGTATGCCGTTCGGGAGTTTGGAGCATTCACATATTGGCGGTTCGTGAGTTTTGGTGATTATACAGTAGCTGTGCCTGTCGCTGAAAGGGGGATTATCGTCTAAGTGGTTTTTTCCCCTTTTATGCTAAACGGTCCGTTACAATTGGTGGCAGCGGTGGGATCGTTCCCACAGACTACAGGACAGCTACAGGAGACACCATTTCTTTGGATTTTACAATTTGAGGGCAACGCATGTCTGAGTACAGCGACCCTGACAGCAACAGCATGGAACCAGCAGTGTCATACGAGGAGGAGGACCTGGATGGCCGGGATGCATTAAGGAAAGGCATCTGGTACCAGGCCCTGGATAATGTACAGTACCAGCGGGGTGAGAGTTTCCCCAGTGAAGAGCAGCGGTTGCAGAAGCAAGTGGCCCTGCGGATGCACTTCCTGGGAGAGCAGCCCCTAGATGAATGGGTGAAGGAATTGGAGCACCGGGTATGGCAGGAGATTTGGCTGGAAGATGCATACCAGGCGCTTTGGTGGTATGGGGCACAGTACCTGCCCTGGACAGCCGAGCATGACAAGCCAGAGGGAGAGGAGTTTGATGGTCCTGGCTTGTTATGGGAGGCTTTTTCAGAGCCTGAATCTGGGAGCCCTACACAAGCCCGGTTCAGTGATCTCTTGGAGTGGAGGGAGAGCAGGTATGACTGGGACGACACTCACGACATTGAGCAAGACCTGGCTCACCTAGCAACCCTGGAGTGGGAACTGGAGCAGGACTACTGAGATCTCTTCCACTCCATTGAGAAGATTCAGCAGGACAGCAAGGTGACAGAGCCAGAACCAGACCCATTCAGCTGGGAAGACATTGTGGATATTTTCTGGGAAGAACCCCAGGTGGCCGGTAGAGATGGGACCGAGGTCTCTCCACCGGTTCTGCAGGGAATTGGGAGCCCAGTCTCCATTCCCCAGCGGCCGTGTGATTTATTGGGAATTGGGAGCCCAGTCTCCATTCCCCAGCGGGAGATATTGCAGGGAATTGGGAGCCTGAGCCCCATTCCCCAGCGGCAGGCTGAGTTACAGGGGACAGAGATAGTCGCTCCTGTCCCCCAGCAGCAGAATGAATTGCAGGGAATTGGGAGCCCGAGCTCCATTCCCCAGCGGGAGAAATTGCAGGGAATTGGGAGCCCGAGCTCCATTCCCCAGCGGGAGAAATTGCAGGGAATTGGGAGCCCGAGCTCCATTCCCCAGCGGGAGATATTGCAGGGAATTGGGAGCCTGAGCTCCATTCCCCAGCGGCAGGCTGAGTTACAGGGGGCAGAATTAGTTGTTCCTGCCCCCCAGCAGCAGAGTGATATGCCGGGAAGGCAGTGTAAAGTGCAGGGAGAGGAGAACAGCGTCCTCCCTCCCCAGCGGCAGGCTGAGATACAGGGGGCAGAGGTAGTTGTTCCTGCCCCCCAGCAGCCAAGTGATATACCGGGAAGGCAGTGGGAAGTCCAGGGAGAGGAGAGCAGTGTCCTCCCTCCCCAGCGGCAGCGTGATTTTTTGGGAATTGGGAGCCCAGTCTCCATTCCCCAGCAGCAGAATGATGCTTTGGGAATTGGGAGCCCAGTCTCCATTCCCCAGCGGCAGTATGATGCTTTGGGAATTGGGAGCCCAGTCTCCATTCCCCAGCGGCAGCACAGATCATTGGGAATTGGGAGCCCCGTCTCCATTCCCCAGTGGCAGAGTGTCCTACCGGGAATAGAGAGCCCAGTCTCCTTTCCCCAGCAGCAGGACTCTGTATTGGGAGCAGAGACAGTCGGTCTCCCTCCCCCACAGCTGGAAGCATGTATGGGAGAGGAGCTTGTTACCCCCTCTCCCCAGCGGCAGCTTAATGTACAAAGGGGAGACAGTAAGCCCCACAACCGTGCAGATGGGACCGTAGTCTCTACACTGCCAGCACAGGGGGTAGGGACGGTCGGTCCTGCCCCCCAGCGACAGGGCTGTTTAGCCAAAGGGGAGACAATCAGTCTCCCCCTCCAGCAGCAGAGATGGGTAACCAAAGGGGAGACTGTCGGTCTCCAGCAGCAGGACTGTGCAGCTAAAGGGGAGACAGTCAGTCTCCAGCAGCAGCAGCAGAGCGGTGTATTTAAAGGGGAGACAGTCGGTCTCCCCCTCCAACAACCAGGCTTCCACCAGGCTACCCCCCCAGTAGCGCTGGCAACAGGGCAGAGTGCCGCTGGTCTCTGCCCACGCAGCAACCCACCAAGTCAGCGTACCCGTACCCAGCACAGCCGTGGTGAGGCACCTGGACATGGACAAGCTTCCCCTTTACCCAGGTGTAGTAACCATTTATTGTGGGTGGGCTGTGCTGTTGATTATTTGTTGTGGGTGGGCTGCTTGACTAACAAGGGCACTGACCGGCAGGAGGTCAGATACCCTGTTAGTCTGTTTGGAAAAGGGGAGAGATGTGACGAGACCAATCTCGCCACATTGCATTGGAGAAGCCTGGTTGCTCGCCTGCTGCCTTTGGACTATGGCCCCCTTTTAAAAGATTTTATTTTTGCCTGCAGAAAGCTGTATTTGTGCTTTTCTGCCTGGGGTTCGGTAGATTTGTTTGAATGTGTTATACCCCAGATAGGAATCCCATGGAGCCCATTCGTATGAAACTGACTGTACATTTTGGCCCATTTATTAAACTGAGCTCGTGGTGGTCTGAGCTACCATTCACTTAATGTGGCACTGTGATCCAGCTATCTGGGGATATGAAAGGGGTCTGTGTTTTATGTACAAATGTGACGTTCTTATGTATTTTAAAGTGTTTTACTGTCTTTGTGTCTTTTTGCAACCATGTGCTTAATGGAGTCTTGTGTCTGTCCTGGGAGATAATTGAATTACTCCAGGATAGAAGACTCAAACTGGTTTGGGCCAGAAAGCCATGCTTCATTTAGTCACAAAGGACTTTTTACTAACTTTTGAACCCCTTGTCTGATTCATGCCATTTTTTAATATGTTGTTCCCCTGAATGGATTGATTGTGAATATGTAATTTTATGTGAATGTGATGTATGGTTTTAGAGTTATGAAAGTTGGGTAGAAAGTATGTTTTAACTGTATGTGTAATTGAGTTTCCTCTCAGGATAAGGGAGGGAATATGTGGGATGTAA